TCTTGTCTGAGTTTTGCTGAGTCTGAAGACCTTATGACTTCAAGAACAGAGACATCGTTCAGTCCTTCTCCCTGCCTCCAAGCAAGAACAAATCTGAAGAGGAGGCAGATATCATGTAGCCATGTAGAAAATTTCAGAGGTGGAGCTTTCTCCATCTGCTTTGCTATGTTTATCAGAACAGGGAATGAGAAAGAAGTTTTCTTTACTTGAAAAGCTAATGCCTGTGTCTACAAATATTCTCAACAGGTGATGGGAAATCTTCATCAGTTTAAGGCTGGAGGACAACTCACACATTTTTCCTCTCTCCCTATCCTCTATTTTAGGAAGTCAGTTCCTTTCCATCAGAACTCCTCTTTCTGCTCACAATAATTTCTCCATTGCTGCTTACCAGGAATTCTTCCCAATAACCCTGGTCAGCTTCAGAACCTCTTCTTTACACCAGGGTATCTGAACCTCCCAGGGAGAAGTGGTCCGAGAGAGCCAGAAAGACGACTGAAATCTTGGAGACCTCGTTATTGCTCCCTTATCTCCTTTAAGAAAGGGATCTTTTTAGAACTAAGTGAAAAATTTTAGGAGCAAGTACATTATTTGGGTGTATCATCAAAGGAGAAAGGAAAGGAAAGCTTTCATTAAATGAGTGCAATTAAAGCCAGGGATTTAAGAGCAGTAGTTTGAAGAGAAAGAGAAGCTAGATGTTTAAGGTAAAGCCTAGAAAAGAGTCATGAACACCAGTTCTAGTCATAACAGAGTTTTTGCAGCTACTATTGGTATGTTCCATGTTGCTACATAATCTTTGATGACTATTGGTTGTATATTCTATCTAGATGCTAGTTAAACATTCCAGATTGTGGAGATAGTAAATTGTTTCCATTTTTTTCTAAACATAGAACACACTGTGCATTTTTCTGCACATCACATTTTAGTGCTTTTCAGTTATAATATTAGCATAAATCCAAGGACTTAGAGGTTTTCTGACTCAAAGTGTGCTGTTTACAATGGCAACAGCAAGACTCTCACAAGAGTCTTCCCAGAATTATTACCATATGCTTTTTTTTTTTTGGAGAGATTTTCACTGTAGGGTGCGTGCGCTCGCCAGACAGACAGAGAGAGACATAGAGACAGAAAGCGAGAAATCACCCCCCAGGGGGGATGGTCACGCTGCAATCCCTTCTCCTCCATTCTCCTCTCGGGATCTTGGGCACGCACGCACATGCGCCCGGCGTGAGTTTTTTAAGCCACTGGGTCCAGGACACGAACCACGGTCGACTACGTGGGAGTCCAGCGACATAGCCATTACGCTAACTGCTGGTTCCCCCGTAAGCTTTTTGATAACTAATCACAAAATTAGATCCATGTTTCTGTTTTGGTTGTCCTTAAAAAAAAATAGTTAAATTAAACATTTATCCACATGCTTCTTTCTCTCTTGAATTTCCTCCAGCATAACTTTTTTACTTATGTCCTTAGTATCAGGCTTTCGAACACAGCAAGAGTAAAATGGACTGAAGAGGGAGAGATTCCATGGCTATGGAGACCAGCTCTGAGAAGACTTATAGGGAAGGTGGCTGTAATAATCCAATTAAGCTCCTATTGAAAATGTGAGTGTAGTTGGCCTAGACATTTCTGAGTCAGTAAAGACAGTAACAACAACCAAGTGAGGGGAAGAAAGCAAAATACTTAATAAGCTCTTGACCATCAGACCATGAGCAAAAATCACAACGAAGGAAGGTTAAAGTGGTATGATCAAGATCTCCAAACCAGCAAATTAGTATCTAGAGTTAACTCCAGAAATTCTTCTTCAACTACTAGGAATAATTTTTAAATGACTTTTATGTCAACCATGTAAGATAGGTATAATTTCCATTTTCAGAAGGGTGAAGTCACTTTCTCAAATTCATAGAACATTCCGTTTTCTTACCCAGCTTTTTCAAGCACAGTGCTATGTTTAACATTCAGCTCCATAGTCCCCTGAGCATACCTTACATGACTCAAAAAACATACTGTCCATCTGCTGGGTTTGCTGTGGTAGAAGGTGCACTGGACTGGGAGCAGAGCATTACATTTCATTTCTGTCTGTTACACTGGTAAGTGGGACGTGGAACAAGTCACTTCCATCTCCTTACTCTGAGATGATGAGATGCCCAACCTCTGTGGCCTAAGGATTAAGCACGCTTTCTTGAAGCACTCCTGCCCATTCCCAGAAATACTTTTCCAGTTTTGCTAGTATGGGTTGAGAAACATGGGGTGCCCTTGGAATGATCCTAAATGTTTGGAAAACCCCATGCAACTTCCAGTAGCATCATTCAAACCCCTTCCCGCATATTTATTCAAACTAAGATGTTTGGCATAAGATGATAGTTCTATGATTCTTGGCTTTAAGACCCAAAACTAAATATAAAAAAAGCTTGCAACTAAGTGTCTGAAACAATTTTACTTGAAGTAATGTATTTGTGTTTATAAATATACTTTTTTTTTCTTTTAAAATTTTATTTTACTTGTTATTTCTTCTATGAGCAAGAGAGACAGAGAGAGATAGACAGGTATCCCCAACAGAGTCTTTTTTTTTCCCCCAAGACCAGGTAGGCTTTATTCCAGGGGTGCAAGGTTGGTTCAACATACGTAAAACCATAAATGTAATAAACCATATTAACAGAAAGAAAGATAAAAATCATATGATCATATCAATTGATACAGAAAAATCATTCGATAATATACAACATTCCTTCAAGACTATCAGTAAAATCAGCATAGAGGGGTCATTTTTCTTTTTCTTTTTTTCTTTTTTTCAATTTAAATTTATTTATTTGCATTCATTCACTGTACATCATTACAGCATCCAAAATGAGATTTTCCATCCAGGATACACTGTATATTGTTTCAATCAAGCACATCAACAAACATGTTATTGTCAGCAAATAATTTTCCATTTTTTGTTTTCTGTATGTTTTGCTTTTTTCCCCCATCCTTGATTCCCTATCTCTTACTATCTGCCATCTCCCACTCTCCTCCCACACTGTCTCTGGTATCTATGTTTGCTTTCTATACTGTTTTCCCCCCACATTTTATTGAAT